CAGTTAATGTAGGATGTCAGTAAGACACTACAGGCCCACAGTGCCTAATGTGACTGAAGTACATACTCCAGAATATACCAAAACTATTCTGTGACTGATACTCCATGACATAAGAAATAACACAAAGATGTAGACATTCCTCAGCAGATACGTAGGTGTGAAATGAGTTCCTGCAAGCTGGGGAGAGAAAGTTCTGCACAGGTATAGCTAGCCTCCAGTTCACTGATTTTAAAAATGGTGGAAAGACAAGGCCTGAAGACTAGAAGAATGATCAACTTCTGAAATAAAAAGCCTAATTTAAGAGCAGAAAAAGCTGCTGGATTAGATCCAAGGTTCCACCTGGTCCAGCTTTCTGTTCAAACACTAGTCAACCTGCTGTCCACAGGATTCCATGAGTGCAGCAGCTCTCTCCTGCCCAAGTGCCCCAGTAGCTGGTGTACACAGACATACTGCTTCAGAAATCATTGGTGACATATAGCCATCAAAACCAGTGCCCCACAATAACCTTCTCCTCCAGGAATTTGTCCAATTCCCACACAGTTACACCACATATTTGTATGAGGTTAGTATTGTATTGGCAATTATGTTTTCAGTTCCTTTCCTAATTATGGTTAACACAGAGTTCGCCTTTTTTCACAAGGTGACTGGGCTCTCCCCATTCAGCAAAAAGAAGGTTTGCCAGTTGTTGCTTATTTTTTTAGGCTACTAGAAATACGTTCACTGCCTGGAACAAAGCACAACTTTTTAAAGCTCACAAGGGCTTGTGACTTTTGGTCACCATACTAATATGGTGGGCAACCAGACATTTATTTATTCTATTTATATCCTGCCTTCTTTCCTTCCAAGGAATTCAGGGTGGCTTACATAAGATCTACTATATTCTGCACAATTACTCTGGATTCCGTCTGAAGGACTATCCCTGTAACTGAAGGAAAGACATCTGGATCTCTTACAAATCTGGCAACTGTATCTCTCTCTCCTCTCATGAATGCAGATTCTGAACCATTTATTAAAATAATTTAGTATCTCTTCCTGTGAGCCTGAAGCCAATCCAAACTCTGATTAGACCATATATCCTTTAAGACAACAGCTAAGCAGCTCAGTATATAATCCCAAACAGAAATGCAAAAAAATTGTGTAACAGACAGATTTGATAATTGACACTTTAACCAAATCCATTTAATGTTCACCAAATGGATGGATAGTCAAGGAAGTCAACAAGGAAAGTTGCTACATATGTTCCATTTAACCTAAAAAAATAAAATAAAATCATGGCTTATACTTCCTGGTGCTAACAATAGAGAATCCTTTAAGTTTTTAAACTCCACTATGACAATCCTCCATTGTACCACTGACTCCCATCCTCAGAAAGCTAATCCAGATTCTAACAGATGTTCCCCCTCCCCCCACACACAAATGCATATTACTAGTTTGCCATTAGAGTCTGAGTTGGGAAGAAAGATTCTATATAGGCTCCCATTTGTAAATAGTCATACATTTTTGATAGCCCACCCATTTGTGCTGCTTACAGGTACTTTACCACATTCACAACAGACCTCACTTTCTTCCACTTGCTTCTTTCAGTGTACACAATGCTATATTCTATATTATATGGTTGAACTGTGGAGCTGGACAAATCTTATCCTAACAGAGAAAAACTGTATTATAAAACCTGCTTTTTAATAGTGCACGGTAACTGATGAGGGAGCACGAGCATGTAACTGTCATTGGCTTGAAAATGTGTTGACATCCATATGTTGACAGATCTGCATGTATTGGGAACAACAAAAAGATCTCTTCAATACAGATGGTCAACGCAGCTTGGCTTTTTTACAGTCTACCTATTTAGGCCAGGTCAAGATTAAAAGGGGGAAGGTACCAAAAGCAGAGATGGCAAGTCTAACATATTCCTCACCCTGCAGAAGAGACTAGTATATTAATGGACACAAGTTTATGGGGTCAAGAAGACCTCAACAGCCCCAAGTGCTCTTTGACATTTTCATTAACTATTTGGAAGAGGAAGCACAGGGAACAATTGTCAAATCTGCAGATGAGACAAAACTGTGTGGGATAGCAAATACCCTGGAAGACAGAAACAAGATTCAAGATGATCTGGACAGGTTGGAGTGCTGGGCTGAAAACAACAGAATGTATTTCAATAGGGACAAATGCCAAGTTTTGATGTAGGAAAATGAAACCAAATGCATCATTACAAGATGGGGAACACTTGGTTCAACAATACTGCAAGTGAGAAGACTCTTGGAATTGTTGTAGATCACAAACTGAGTATGAGTTAACAAGATGAGGATGAAAAAAATAGCATATGCTATTTTAAGTTGCATTACTATTTACTTACTTTAAAAAATTCTATACCATCATTATATTCCAAAGAATCTCAAGATGGTTTATAAAAATACTTAATGCAAGTACCACTTCCAAATCTCATGAAGTACTAATTCTCCTTTACTTACTTAATACTGGTAAATACAGTAGGCCCCATCTTGCCTACTGTGTCCAGTTTTGGGCACCACAGTTTAAAGATACAGGCAACCTAGAAAGGATTCAGAGGAGGGCAACAAGGATGATTCAGGAACTGGAATCAAAGCCCTGTGAGGAGAGAAGGAAGCAACTGGGCATGTTTAGCATCAAGAAAAAAAAAGACTGAGGGGAGATATGATAGCACTCTTAACATACTAGAAAGGCTGTCACAAAGGAAGGACAGGATCTCTTCTCGGTTATCCCAGAAAGCAGGACACTGAATAATGGGTTCAAGTTACAGGAAGCCAGATTCCAGCTAAATATCCGGAAAATTTCCTGACTGTTAGAGCACTAGGACTACGACAATGGAATCAATTACGGAGGAAAGTTGTGGGCTCTTCCACACCAGAGGCATTCAAAATGCAACTGGACAGACATCTGAGGACTGTTAAACCCAGAGTCCTGCACGAAGCAGGGGGTTGGACCCCATGGCCTTCCCTTCCAATTCTACTGTTCTATACTTCTAGATCTTGTCAGTTAAGGAAGCTTATGAGAACGGTTTATCTAGAGATTTCTGAGTAAAACTTCAAGGTGCAACTAAATTCTCAAAGCAGCCTCACAAACCCCTCTGCAAGACAAACAGGTGCCTTGCCATCCTCTTGTGTTATGATGGCACCAAGTATAGTTTATCATCCCACCCCCAAACACCATGAACCTGATTCTAGATATAAATTAAAAGCTGAGCATCATTTCATGCAAACAAACTGTGATAGAAATTTAGGTTTCTTGCAGGAAAGACTACAGCCTTCTTATGATCAAACTAAGAATGTTGGTGTTTTGTAAGGATGACTACACCTTTCTTATAACCAAACTGAGGGAATATTTAGGTTTTTGTTTAAAAAAAATATACTCCCCTTCTGATCAAATTAAGGCAGAATTTAGCAGCGGGTTGTGGAGAAGAGTATGTTCCTTATGCTCAAACTGAGGTACAGGCTGGGTTTTTTGAGAGAATACACCCCCTTGTGATCAAACAGAGGCAGAATGTAGATGGTTTGGAGAAGAATATGCCCCTTATGATCAAGCTGGGGTACCGGCGGGGCTTTTCCGCGAGGGAGAAGAGGCCCCCGCTCGAGCCAGAGCGCGCGCTTCGCCAGTCCCTCCTGCTTCCCTCAGGAGTGCGCCCCATAGAGACGCGCTCGTGACCTGAGCCGAGCGGGGAGGCGGGGCGCGAGCGCGCTACTCCGGCTCTGCACACACGCCCGCTCCAACGGTCGCCGCCGAGACGCGCGCCAGGCGAGCGAGCCCTTCCCGCCACGCCCCCGCCCTCCCCGCGAGGTCCCGTCCCAGGAGCCAAGCCGCTCGCGCCCTTCGCGAGCAGCAGCACGCGCGCCGCGCTTCCCCCTCGCTCGGGGCGAAGAGGAGCGGCAGCTGCTTGCATTGCTTCGCATGGCATTGCAGCAACGGCCGCCGCCGCCTCTTTTCTCGACGCCCCGCCGGCACTGTTCCTCACTCGTCACACACACGCCCTGTTCGACGCGTGAACACTTAAAAGAAACAGAAATCAGAATTAATGCTTAATAGAAGAGAAAAAAAAATGTACCGCACAACCCGCGCAAAACTAGGTGCACGCGCCCCCTGCTGGAGGGAGCGCTTATGCAAATCCGAGGACCATTTAAGAATATCTATTAAAAGGAGAGTTTGTGGCAGCACCTTTCGCCACATACACACACGTTTAAGAGGGCGGCTGCAAGCGCGTGCAAGCCACAACTCCCTTCTGCTCGACACACGCCCCGTGCAGCAGCTAACAGGCTGTGCTCAGGCTTGGCGGCTCACACCTGGATCTTGCAAAGCGCGGAGGCGCCTGTCACGCAACGGGCTCCCTCGTCTCGCTCCCCCTCCTCCCCCAACATCGCAGCTGCTCCTACGAGGAGCAGACACGCCCCTACGATGCCTCCGGGTATGCCGTTTTCCATTTTTTAGGTAGCTTTTTATGGCTGCTCTCCCTCCCTCCAGCACTGCACGCTCTTAAGAGTTTACTGTCCTCCTCAGCTAGGGTGGGGAGGAATACACCTTCACAACCTGACTGCACCCCAATCACCCAGCGAAAGGAAACACGCTCGCCGCCTTGCACCACGTTCCATATGGGGCCGAGCGCCACGCTTGCAAAACGCTCGGCTGGATATTTCGTTGCCCCCGCGCCGACACTTGCAAATCCAGAATGGCACCCCCAAGAGATTTTCCGAGAGCGCTTTTTCCAGCCTCGGCTTCCCTTGGAGTAGCGTGGAGAAGGGAGAAAGAGCCACCCTCCCCTCCGCAAACGGCGGTAGGAAATCCACCTCGAGTTACAGACCTGCAGCTGACCCACAAAGGGGCAGGTCAGAACCGCTCGCAAGAGTCTCCCGCATAAGCTACTTAAGAAAGCAGCTGGGAAACCACTTTTGCTTTGGGTGCATTAAGCCATTCATCTCGTTTTTTCATTGCTCCTAGCATTTTTAAGGGAGGAACAAGAATATCCGACCTACCGGCCACGCAAACTGAAAAGGTATAACTATCCGGCCCATGTCGTGGCTTTTGCCCTGATGAAAATTTCGGCTGTTGAGATAAAAAGTATTTCCACCAAGAACAGGAGTATATCCGGAGCCGTAGTTGCACGCTCCAGTGGGCGTGATTTTGGCCTGATATTCCTTCAGACAGACTTTCACGTAAGTGTCGCACTCGTCCCGGGCGCAGTCCAGGCTCGGGGGGGTTTTCATGCCATCACAACATTCTCCATTCAACAATTCGCCGTTTACATTCTTCACCGAGTTAATCTGCAGCTCGAAATAGCCCGTGGACTGGGAGACCTAAAAATAAAAAGAAAAAAAAGTAGGGGGAGAAAGAGAAATCCTCATTAACTACGGTGTCTTGGGAAGAAAGTGCACGGAGATTTGCACGCAGTCACTCAGAAGAGTGCTACAGCCAGGCAGCCTTCCGGTAAAACTATTAAAACTAGACTTGCTATTAAAAGATGATCGAAGCATACCGGGCGGGGGGGGGGGGGAGAAAATCGGTGCCGCAATTCCGGCAATTCGTAGCACTGCAAGCCCGTGCAAGAGACCTGCGGAATAATCCATTTGCAACTGAAGGAGCACTTAGGGGAAAACAGCAGCCGCCACAAAAAAGGAAGGAAAAAAGGGGAGACACCCAGGGCTCGCTATGCAGGAATTCCCCGATTGGGACGATGCGACGTGCTTTCCTGCCTTGCAAAGGAATGCCTTCCGAAATAACATAACTAATAATTTTAAGGACAAATAAATGCCCAGGGCGATTTGTGCAAAGGCGCAATGCAAGTTTGCCTGCGTGTTCTTCCAAAGCAAACAGACCGCTTGGGAGCAACGAGTCCTTCAAGCAGGTTTGGGAGACAGCACATCAGCAGAGCCTTCACAAATATCTTCCCATCTTTTCCAAAGCGACATTGGAGATTTTAAGTTCCCAAAAGGGAGTGCGAGATTCCAGCGTCCCCCCTCTAAAAAAAATCCCTTTCAAGTAAAGCCGATGCAAGGTATTTCCTAACCCTCTCACAGCCAGCTGAAGTGGAAAGGTAAGGCAGGAATTTTGCAAGATTCCCCGATCGTTTCACCCATAACCACCCTCCCCATTCTTCCTTTGCAAGAAAACAAATTTAAAAGCACACAACACATCGCCGACGAAGAGCGGGGGGGGGTTGCTTTTTTTTTTTTACCTGTGCCCATAAAGTTAGCAGCAGCCACAGCCTGAACGCCGCAGCGAAAAGAGCCCAGTGCCGCTTGCCACAATCCAGCATGCCTGCTGCTCCGAGCTGAACGCCCTCCTTGCCGGATCAGGGAAGACAGGCGAGCACCCGACCAGCCATCGACCGGCCGCTGCTCGGAGCATCGGCGGCGGGCAGGGCAGGAGGGCTTGCGCCGTGCAACGACGGGGGGTGGGGAGAGGGCAGCAGCCCGCCGGAGCTTTGCAGTCGACGTCGCTCGCACCGATGCTCAGGATGATCCCAGCAGCCCGAGGCCGGGGGAGGCAAGAGCCCGCGCCTATCACCCTCGGCTGGTGCGCTCCCGCGGCGACGGCACGAGGAACGCTCCACTCGCAGCTCTGCCTTGCAACGCCGCTCGCTCCTCTGTGCGTCTCCGCTGCGCGAACACCCAACAAGTAGGTGCCGGAGTGACAGCTTCATTGCCCATTAGTCAGCAGCGCCTCTGTCTTCATATTAATGAGGGGGGAGGGCCCCGAGCAGCAGCGGGCGGGTGTGGCCACGCGGCTGCCTTAAAGGGCTAGCAGGGGGGAGGAGGAGGAGGAACGCGCGGTGAGCGAGAAAATGCCGGAGCGTGCGCGGTTTGGAATCCGCTGCCCGAGGCGCCTCCGAGCCGCTGTTCGTCTCCCGCCCGGCCGCGGCTTTGCGGCGGGGTGTTGCGCAATCGACCTGTTGCGCGTGGGCAAGGCTCTGCCCGGCACGTGCGCGGCCCTCCGGGCTGGGCAGGGGCGTGCGCCTTCTGGCCCCCGTAACGTGTAGCTCCTTTCTCGTCGCGAGCGAGAGATGCGCGGAGAAAGGCAGGCTGCTTTGCGCGCCCGGGGGAGAGTTGTGCGCCTCGGGCGAATTCGTGCTGCTTTTGGCCCGCAGACCAACGGGGCAGTGTGCACGAGAAGGCGTACAGAACAAGCCGTTTCAAACCCCGGGAAACTAGAATTTGAGGCCATAAACCGAGAAACGAGTAGTGTGGATGCTTGCAGCTGATTCTGCAAGGTAACATAAACGGGGAAAGAAGCGTGGGAAGAAAAACGCCTGGGTTATGAAGCCTTAAAGAACGGCTTGGGTGGAATCCAGTATCATTGTTTAGATCCGCCATATCTAAAGGGGTGGGGCCCAAGCCATGTTTTTTGGGAGGCCTCCTGAGGATCTCACGCAGAAACCTTGGGTTCCACGATAGGCGATGGGACATAAAGAATTTTTAAAAAATAAAGAATTTTTTAAAAATGCTCGCACCCAAACTGACCAAGGCAACACCAACCCCTCCGGTCATTTCATTGCTTTAGAACTGGAAGGGGAGGACTGTGGCTAGGTGTCTTCTCTTCCCAGTCGGGTCTATGCTGGGTGTTTTGCTAACTGCGTGCAAGGCATGTGGGTCTCCACGTCGTCTGAAACCAACAAACTGCATGGTGGACAGTGACTTTGAAGGCTGCACGGAAGGCAGCACGGAGCCCTGCAACAAGCCTTGGTTCAGGCCACTCAGGACATTGCTCCGGAAGGGTAATTAAGCAAATGGCAGTGCAACCTGCTTGCCGGGGGCAGCGGGGAGAGAAGTCCCTTCGGCTTCGTTTCCCTCATTTTGTGCAAATGCCGCCCATTGTGTCCTGTGAGGAATATCATCTGAGCTTTGGGAATATCAAGATGGGTTACATAAAGTCAGAGTTTGATGGGAGAAACGGAAGACCATCTTCGAGCCCCAGAAAGAGGCAGAGTTACTTTCTTTTGGTGGGAGTTCCCACATGCTTTTTGAGCAGATGTCAGCAGAATAAATGGAGCATCAGTCCTGGGGAAATGAGAATTAAGACTTAGGGTGCAATGCTATGCAGATTTAGCCAGGAAAAGTCCTACATCTCTCAGCATCTTCCTGATGGCTGTGGATAGGATTGTACTCTTAATATCCAGAAAAAATAGCTTCCGGTGCATGGATGGATGGTGCTTGACTTGCTGGGAGTAACAGTCTCATCCCAGCTGCTTGTTTATGTAAAATATTTTATACTTGGCTTTGAGGGTGCACTGCCCTCACAAGGCAGCTTATAATATTACAAAAATATGAATATATACGTTAAAATCAAATCCATACAGCAGTAATGGATGATTTTGAAACACCATGTATAGACTGGAATAAACATGTCTTGAGATGTTTTGTTTGCCTGCTTGCCATAGTGATGAGACCGCAATGTAAGTCCCTGAGGAGGGAATTCCAAAACTCTGGGGCCACCACTGGGAAAGCCCTATCCATAATTCCCACCAGATGAATGGCTTTTGCTGGTGGGTCTCTAACACAGATCTTAATATTGTATTGGTCATTCTAGTTGGTTTCCAGTTCCTTCCACAGCCTGATCTGTATATGCTTGCTCAGATGTAGACCATGTGACATCAGCCAGCCTTGCCACCAAGTAAGACCGCAAATTTGTAGCCTCGTCCTTCCCCCAAAAAAAGTGCCAAAATGAAAAAGTCCCAACCAGAATTTTAATTCATAAGAAATTGTGGTTTGTGTTGGAAGAGGTCAGTTGGGTGATCACACTCAAGTCATTAGAACTTGTTGTTTTGTTATGTAATCCTAAAAATGGGGCTTCTTTCCATGTCTTTGGGAAAGCACAGATAACTTAGCTGTTTTCACTGGCCTTCCTGTCACATTGAGGCTGCTGATTTTATTGATTCTATTTATATTTGTTTAATAATTTTTTAATATTTGTTTGATTTTTGTCCCATATGTACTTAATGATTTTCTTATTTGACCCAAGTAGTAAGGTGTTCATCTTGTATGTCACCTTGCGAGGGTTTCATCCTTAAAGACAGCCTCATTTAAAAGGAAACCAAAGGAACCATCCCGCAGGACAAGCAGCCAAGCCCTAGCAAACCCCTCGCTTGCCAGGGAGCTTAGGGTCTGCCATCCCAGATGTACCACTAGCTCCTCTGTTGTGGCTTTGCAATTTGCCACCTGTACCCAGGAGGTCAAAGAGCAGTGTGCCACGGGCCTAGGGGTTGCTCAGGACACTGCTAGAACCACTCCTTGGAGTCAGAACAGTATTGCTGGAAGTCGTGTGGTTTACAAACCTTGGCATAGCTGTGGTTTCTTGAGGCTAAATGAGCCAGGTGAAACATACCAGGGTTGTAAATCAGGTTGATGGACACAGCCCCTGGCCTTGTGGTTGTTGTTTGAATTTCCATGCATGGTTCCATCCTCGGGTCACAATGATTCTGCTGCCACATGAAGAATTGGGGGCTTAGAGAAGGTGACCAGCAATGTAGGTGTGCAGAAATTGGGTTGTAGACGAATGGTACTCTGAGTAAACTGAAGGACATATGAAAAGCCATGCTAGATCAGACCAAACGTCCATCTCACAGTGGCAAGCCAGCTGCCCACAGGATCCCTCCAGCAGGATGGGTGCAAGACCTCCTCCTGCCCAAGCTCCCCAGCAACTTCAGTATGCAGGCAGGCCACCTCTGGTGAAGGAGGGAGCCCATGGCCAGCAAGGCTAGTAGCCACTTAGGGCCTCCTCCCCCATGAGTCTGTCCAGTCCCTTTTTAAAGCCATCCAGATTGGCAACCATCACTGCTCCCACGGCAGCAAATTCCGTAGTTTAACTACACACCATGTGCAAAATGACTTCTTTTTATCAGTCCGAAACCCCTCATCACTCAGCTTCATGCAATGACCTCAGGCTCATGTATTATGGGAGAGGGAGAAAAATGCCTCCCTCTCTACTTTCTCCACACCTTGGAACACCTGTCATGTCTCCCCTTCCTCACCGTTTTTCTAAGCTTGAACAGTCCCAGTTGTTGTAACATCTCCTCACAGGGGAGCTGCTCCAGCCCTTCATTTTGCCCTTCACCCATTGAAATGAATGGAGATTGATTTAGATTAACATTGGAAGCAACCCAGGTTTTGCATACCTATGTGCTTGATCATTTGCAAAGTCATGGTGTTTGCTTCTGCGTGTTGCAGAGTAGTTGCGCACTCCTGATTGCACTCCTAATCCTTCCTAGAATGTCAGGCTCCACCTAGAAAATTGGCGGTTTCTGAGTGGGCCCTTGACCTTGATCAGAATTTTTCTGGGTTGATTCAAGCCAATTTGCAGAAGGAATAGAATTACCACTTCTTCCGCTCACAAGGTGGTAACTGCTTTTACACACAGGCCAGACTATATCTTTTTTCTCACTAATGGGCTGATTCCTGTCCTTCTTTTCAGAGTTGTATGCATTTGTCAATTCATCTCTTAGAGCACTCTCCTCTAACCTGGTGCCTTCCAAATGGGTCAGACTGGGAATTATGAAAGTTGCAACCCAACACACTTGGAAGACACAGGGCTGATTTCCTAGAGCGTAGGTAGACAATCTAGTCCCCTTGAGAGGTTTCGGACTACACTTCCCAACGTCCCTTGCAATGGCCTTGCTTTTGGGGGCAGAGGGAAGCTGCAGCTGGAACATCTGCTCTAGAGCCCTCATGGTATATTCATTTATTTAGAAAACCTATATCCTGACCTTTCCAACATAATTGCGTTGCCTAGGACAGGTTGCAAAAACTACCAACAAAGCAAATCCCATGAAAGCAGTAAAATTGCAGCATTCCTACCATATAAAAATAATTTGCCTAGAAAAGCAAATGCTTGGTGGAACAAAAAAAAAAAAGTTAATCTATAGGTAAGAAAGAAGGGAAGCCAAACTAGACTCGGGGGTGTCGTCACCGAGGGCATTTCTCTCACTCTTCTCAATCACTTCTCAACCATGGATGGGCCACGGAGAAAGAACTTCCCAGTAGATCTCAGGGAGCAGACAAACTGGTACAAGAAGAAATGGTCCTTCAGGTATCCTACAGCCAAGCCATTGAGGGCTTTAAAGGGAATCCCGGCATTGTGACTTGTGCTCCCAAGCAAATTGGCTACGAGAATAGCTCTTGTGGAACGGATGCAACATGATCCCATGGGTGAGCGCCCATGGGTGTAATAGGATCCCAGTGGTGGAATGTCTGCCTGGGAGAAGCTCTTGTGGCGCCTGCGTTATCATCTCAGCACAGGGTACAGACTTTTTATTCTCCCCAATCATTTTAAGGACTATTATTAGCTCGTTGAGCTCTTCAACACTGATTTACTTTGCTGTTGGTTGTGTGCGCTGCCTTGTCTTTGCTTTTTCCTGCCGGTTTTGTCTTGGCTTTGCTGCGTGCTGGTTTTATCGTTTGCTTGTTTGTATATTTTATGTTCGCTAATCAACCCATATGCTGCCCAGAAAACTTTGGCTCTTGGAAAGTCTAAAAGTACAATAAATAAATACCATGGTGTGGATGTAACCCATCCTAGAAAAGCTCTGAGGGTGCATCCTCCTGACCTGGGTTGGTGTTAGGAACAGGTGCATGTGGTGCCCCATGCTAAGCTGA